AAATAAATAAATAAATAAATAAATAAATAAATAAATAAATAAATAAAATGGGATGAGCCAAGCTGCAGGCCTAGCTTCAAAAAGATAGCTGGCAGCATGGACCAAGGGACAAGGCCTGGGCGGAGCTAGAGGTAATCTTCTCTCCAAGGTGGGTTGATAGCTGTCTGAGGTCTCAGGACCCTAGCCTGGAGGAAAAGCAGGGGGTGTCTGTCTGCAGGCGCTGGGGAAGACAGAGCCTGAGGCTGGGACAACTGAGCGGCCCAAGCCTGGGCAAGGCCAGAGGAGCTGGATGCTGTTGAGCAGGCTAGTGTCTGCTCTACAGACGAAGGTGGCAGCCTGTGCAGCTCCCACCACTGAAGGAGGGCTGGAGGGTACCATCCATGGTAGAAGGCCTGCACTTGGCCCTCAAGGAACTGCCCTGCCACTAAGCTATGTCTGAGTCATGCCTCAGCACCAAGTCTACACCAAAAGGTCAGGGACACTTGGGCTCAGATCACAGTTCTACACTACATGCTGGGTGGCTTTGAGTGGGCTATTTCCTCCCTCTGGGCTGTTGGCCTCGGCAGCTTGTTCTGAACCCCCAGCGGGAGAACTAGGAAGAGCTAAAGAAGAGCAGAAAGCAATGCACTGAGCAGGGGCCTTAGCAGAAAGAACCTCAGTGAGGGAAACAAGAAACCCCTGCCGGATTCAAAGTCAGGCCCACAGAGTGGCTCGTAGCTGGAGCTCCAGGACAGATGATCTAGGGCTTCTACCCCACCTCTGCCACCACCTTGGACTAGTGCCTCCTCTCATCTGTAAAGCAGTGCCCGAGGACGCAGATGGTTCACAGTGGTGCTCAGGAGTAAGCCCATGCATGCAACATGCAAAGCACAAGGCCAGGCATGATGCTAGAGATGGGCGCCCTGGCAGCTGCTAGAGGCTGGGCTCCGCTGCCACAAAGCTGCAGAGCTGTGTCTGTCTATAAGGATGATTTAAAAAAAAAAAATGGATACCTGGGGTGCTCCCAAGCCCCAAATAGTGTTGTCCAGATCCTTACAGATTTACGTAGACAGGAATCCAGGGTGTCCCCTCCCCGTTCTTCAGCAGTGTCCCAGAGCCAGGAGATCCAGCCTGGCTTGTGGGCATCCTTCTGGCCTGAGGCTTGTTACCGGAAACACACTTCGGTGCCATCGGGGGAATAAAGGGAGGCGTCAAGTACCTTACCAGCTCCAAGTCTGCACAGGTGTGCATCCTCAAGCCAAGCTCACACATGCCTGTTTGCCCGGTGGGGACGTATGACTCCCCAGGCTACGAGTGGAGTGGGGTGTGACTCTCCAGTCCTGGTAGACCTGAGTAGAACCGGCCCCACGGTGAGCACGTGCCCCCTCTCCCCCAGGAACATTTCATTGGTCCCCTCCCTCCCCCTCTAAATAGTAGAAGCCCATGTCCTTGGAGACTCTCCCACGACTTTGGATCATGGTCACTAACACATACTGAACACTTTACGGCTTACACTGGGATCCCTCCCCCTCGGCCCCTGAGGGTATTTAGCAGCACATGAGGCCTCTACCCACTCGAAGCCAGTAGCACACACTTCACCCCTTGCCAGCTGAAGACCCAGCATCCACAGACATCACCCGAGCCCCCACCCCACCCCCCCAGCACACACAGTGAATGGTTGTTCCGGGCCCTTTCCACGTACTATCCTAACTTCTGCCCTCCCCTCCCAGGGCAGAGGTGTGTGGGCTGCACCCCCACTCAGAGGCCTGGAGGAAGCAGGCCCGGAACCAAGTCCACGTCTCAAGTTCTGACCTCAAGTCTGAACCGTGACCACCTTCTACTACATAGGACACGGTTATGTGGCCTCTGGTGCTTGCGAGGTCATGCTGTGGCACATGCGCCTCTGAGTGTCCTCCTAGTACCTGGCACAAACATGCTAGTACTTGGTCACTAATGGTAATCAGTGAGACAGGGGCTCAGTCATTGAGGGTTGGAGCCCTGGAGGAGGAAAGTCAGTGTCCACCCTCCTCAGGCTCAGGTGACATGAAAGCCCTGCCCTGAGGAGATCCACAGACTGAGCCCTTCCTCACTAGCTAGAGCAGAGCCCCCCAGCCAGTCTGAACCTTTCCCACCTCTCC